GGTCGAGAGAGAGAGAGGGGGGAAGGCCAGAGAGTAGTGCGTAGAGAGAGAGTGAGATTAGAGGGTTATGTGTATTGACTCTCTCTCTCTATATATATATACATGCCAAATGGAGATGGACGGCTAAGATCAAGATCTGTAATCAACGGCCCAAATCAGGCCTCGCAAAAGGACGCAGATCCTAGGCGGGTCACGGAGCGGGTCACGGGCAAGGGGCGCATCACAGGTAAGGGTCAGCAACAGGTGTGGTTGTGGTGTGGGTTGTGTATCACAAGCCAGGCCTGATTCGATCGGGCTGCATAATTATTTGTGTGTAGTGTATTGGGGTGGATCCGAAGGACAAAAATCCAACAGTATGTATAAACTAAGTGTACGTGATATATTTATAATTTAGATAAAAATTAAATATATTTTAATATTAATATATGATTAATTTTACTAAAATAAAAAAGAAACTATTTTTAAGTGAAACTGACAAAAAATAAAATATTATAAAAATAAGAACAAAATATAATTTTAGCAAACAAACAACAACAACAACAACAACAATAATAATAATAATAATAATAATAATAATAATAATAATATAATACTATTTGAATGTACTTGAAATTACTATATGTGTAATTATATGCGTATGGGCAAGGATTACTGTGTTGATTGTGTTAATATTTTAAATATACAAATAATATAAATTTATTATACACATTATATGTTGTTTTTATTAAAAACATATATTATTTGTTCATAATTACAGCGTGTGCTATATAAAAATATCATAGGCTAAAATCAACTGTTATATGTATCGTGTAAGATTAGGTGATAATAGTTATATTATGTTAATATAAATGACGGTGATAGAGTGTCAATAATAATATTATGTGTTATTTATTAGTATATTATGTGTTATTCAGAACAACACTGAATATTAAATTCAGCAAAATTCAACACAGTAGTCGCCATCGGTAAGATAATAGTCAGACTAAAGAAGTAAATATAATATGGTATTGTTTGTGTACATTGTTTAAAAAAAACAAAAAAAAAATATATATAGTAGATTGAATATATTAGCAAATCATATATGCCTTACATATTATCAAAATTTTAAATTGTCAAGAAACGTGTTTGTTTAGTGTATTAATTTTAAAAATATTTTTTTATATAAAATATAAAAAATTGTATCAATAACAATAAAAGAAATATATACAATATTTTATGAAAACTGAAATTCCAACCTAATGGTCAAGGGACTTCAGGGCTTCATCACTTGGACTACACCCTCGTTCCGTTACGTTAAAAATTACTTTTTGTAAAATATTAAAATATATATATTAAAAAAATATATTAATCAAACGACCTCTATGATTAAACACTATTCTAATAATATTAAAATAAAATTTATTTAAAATGATAGTATGTTTATTTTAGAATAAAAATAAAAAGAATTAATAAACTACTTTTAAAATGGCCAATAGGTTTATTTGTCCATGTTTTGAAATATAATTTGGGGGATATTCATAAGGTAAAATCTTTTATTTTTCCTGAAAAAGAAATAATATTAAATATTTAAAAATATTATATTCAAAAATTTTATTCAAAACATTTGAAGTTGTGTTCTCTTATATTTCTTTTAACTTTTTTTTCATATTTTTTTTTAAGAAAAAAATATATGATGAATTACTTATTTTTCATATAAAATATCGGATATAAACAATTACTTCAACTTCAAAAATATGAAAAAGAAAATATAAAACAAAATAAAAACCACAAGAGAGCACATCCAAGTTGTGTTTGTTTGTGGTTCTTTTACGGATTCTTTACTATTTATATAAAAAAAAAAAAAAAAACACAAATTTCATTAAAAATATTAAATTATACTTATTTTTTATTTTATATTATATTGAAATTTAATTTTACATTCAAAATATTAAAATATTACATTTCTATATAAATATTTAAATTTAAAATTTTATTGTTAAAAAACACACCATAAGGATTTGTTTACTTAAATTTTTTTGCTCAATTTTGGAACACTACTTCACCTTAAAAATATCAAATTTGTAAATTTTAAACCAAAATTAACACTCAATTTTCAAAAAATATATATTATTTTATTCATAAAATTATTATATCAAATTACTATTTAAACAAAACAAAACAAACCCTATATAAGTCTTCGGTAAAAAGAGTTTAAATTTAAATTTATTCTATATCATTACAAAAAAAATAGTATATTAATAACGGAATTTCGTCTCTAATGTTCACGTAGTTAACGCAATTTCCTCTTTAATTTCGTCTCTAATGTCATTAGTAATGGAAAAAATGAATTTCGGGATAAAAAAATTTTGTTACAAAATTGATATTTTCTTATTGTGAGTTAACTAGTTTCAATCAAACACACGAAATAGGACCATTGATTCGAAACTATTCAACTCTAATCCAACCAAGGGAGGCCTTAACTACATTATTCAATCTAAAAATGAAACAAAAACAACAAAGCTTGTAATGTTGAAGATCATATATATATATATATATATACACACAAATATATGTATGGTGCGTTTGTTTGGAGAATTTTGTAAGATTTCTACTATTCATTCAATTTTATCTCCTCAAAAATATCAAATCAAATATTTATTTTTTATTTTTTATATTATACTCCCTCCGTCTCATAACAAAGTATTCATTTTTCCATCTAGTGCGTCACATAACAAAGTATCAATTTCCTTTTTTAATAATTGTACTATCTACATAACATTACAAATACCATTACATTTATATCACATATACTAATAAAGTTATTTTACTCGTTTCTATTTATTCATATTACATCCCAATATAATACTAATATTTATAAAACTACGTGGGTGTGTTTGTTTGGGGGTTTGGATTTTGAGTTGAGATTTGAATAGTAAAAATTTTGAATTCGAATAGTTGTATGATGTGATATAAATAGGTGATGACGTGATGTTTTGGATGTAAAATTGATTTTTAGTATAATATAAAAAATAAAAAATAGGTGTTTGATTTGATTTTTTTAGGGGAAAAAATGGGATGAATATTGGAAATCTAATCCAATCCCCCAAACAAACACACCCTTAAATGGATATCTAGTTATGAGACGGGGTACTAAAAATCAATCTTACATTTAAAACATTACATTAATACCCATTTATTTCACATCATACAACTATTCAAATTCAAATTTTTTAATATTCAAATCCAAACTCCCAAACAAACACACCCGTATATTATTGACTAAGTTTAATACCTCTATTAGTTAAAATTATTTTAAATTTTTTTACTATAAAATTCTCACTATACTCTCTAAAAATAATATATTATGTTATAAAATATCACACTAAACATCTATTTAAACACAATTACAAATACAAACTAAACTAAACACATGTTTTTGCTTTAATTTGATATCATTTTCAATGCGTTTTCAATAAAAGCATCAGATTTTCCCCTAAAAAAATATTTCATAAAATCAAAGATTTTAATAATACTTTCACAGGATTTTCCACAACTAACAACAAAAATTACTAAACAATGAAAGAACATAACCATCATATCCCAAAATTAAACTTACTTCAATCACAAAGCCAAGAATATATATATATATAGAGGTGTGTTTGGCGGAGATTTTATCCCAAATTTACTAATCACTATTTTCTCATACGTAAACAATATCAAATAAAACATTTATTTTTTATTTTTAGGCTAAATTGCATCAAATTCACACATCCCCTACTTTTAAAATTGCGTCAAGCTCCCTTATAGTTTCATAAACACTGTGTCTAATTCTCTCGGCGTCCTTATTTAACGGTATTTGACCTAAATGCGCCCAAATTGGAAATAAATTTTAGAATCTCAATTTCTAAACCTCTAAAATTACATATATATTTATTTTTCTTATATTTAGCCCAAGTAAAAATAAACTCTGAGAAAACTAACTATTTTTTAATATATTTACTATTTTTGAAACTAAATATAAGAAAAATGAATATATTTATAATTTTAGGGGTTTAGAAATTGAAATTCTAAAATTTATTCGCAGTTTGAGCGCATTTAAATCAAATATCGTTAAATAAGGACCGCCAAAGGGGTTAGACGCAGAGTTTATGAGACGCAATTTAGCATTTATTTCTATTATACTAAATATCAATTTTACATTAAAAACATTATATGAATTATATCCCCATAACTATTATCAACTTCAATTTTTCTACCATTCAAAACTCAAACCCAAAATTAAAACTCACAACCAAACAAATCTTATATTGATGTCGTCAAAGAAGCTCTATAATTATATCATTTCACCAAGAAGCAAAAACAATGAAAATCCTGCTCATGGGAAACTGATGAGAGATTGAAAGAACAGCAGCATGCATTAGAACTACTTTCAGAATCCAAAAACAAAAAGGCAATGGCCGAGGCTGAGGCTGAGGCTACAACTGATAACATTAGCATTTAGAAAGGCTCCAAAGATTTTCCAGCGCAAAAAAAAAAAAAAAAAAAATCACAATTTTGTTGAAGTGAAAATGATCCGGAAAACTGATAATTAGTGTAAAAATGTTTACTTTACAATAGCTGGGAACCAAAAAAGATGTTGGCGAAATCTTATTTTGTTCAAACAAAATTCATCAATCATCATTTAATTTGTATATCTAGTGGAAAAATTGAAATTTTAACTGTATACTTATGATCAAATATAACACAGAACAAAAGTAATAATTGATCCCAATACAGAATTCAATTTGCAATTTTCCCATAAGAAATACACAAGTTTATCTAGATATTTTAAAAAATTTTGACATTATTAATTTTTTTGAAAAATATCTCCAAAACTTCTGCCTAAACAAATTATTACTCCAAGTTTTGAATCAAAATAGCATAAAATCGTAGTTGCATCATTACAATGTTCGATACTTACAGGTTAGATTCAAAGAAGAGCAATGAATCTAATTAGGTTAAAGTTTAAATCCAACATCACATAATTAATTATATATTAATTAATTACTGTGTAAAATGTCGTGGTAAAATCAAGAAAGCAATGTAAGATTGCTCATCAATGGAGGATATAAGATAACATAACATCTAACCTTGTTTCTCGACGATTCCTATGGGCTATCCATTTTCTCAATTGTACGCCGGCGGTGGAGCCCAAAACACATCTTGCGGCGGCGCCGGCGGAATTTGGCCGTTGGGGAGCAAATTATACGAGGGTATCGACGATCCCTTGGGGGGGCTAGCTTCCATGTCCACGGCGGCGCCGCCGCCGGATTCATGTTGCAATTGCATTGCGTCACCGCCGGCGGCGGCGGCGTGATCGGAATCGTCCTCCAACGGCAGCCTTTCATACGTGGCGTTTGTGAAAGTGGCGGCGATGATCATCACCGGTCCGGAAGCGGTCAGCGCGCCGGCGACGGTTCCGCCGACGACCTCCCCCTGACCGCCGCTCAAGTAGACGGTCAGACCGGCGGCGCCCGGCGGCGACGGCGCGGGCAGGAAAGCGCCGGAGAGGGACAGAATCTCGAAGCGGCCGTGGAGGGGGAGCACGCCGCCGGGCGCCGCCGGCTGGTGCAGCGTGACGTTGGTGACGATCCCCGTCCCGCTGAGCACGGAAACGCCGCAGTGGCGGCGCTGCGCGAAGGCGGCGATGCTCTCGGCGATGTCGCTGCCGCTGCCGATTTCCAGCACGTGGCTCCGGAGGGCATTAGGGCTTTCTTTCGTCAACACAATCGGCGGCTTCGGCTTGTTCTTTGACCCCGCCGGCCGCCCCCTCGGCCGCCGCCCGGAGCTCGACGACGACGGCTCCGACAGATCTCCGGCGGGGTTCTGATCATCCTCCTCCTCCCTATTTTCATAATTATTATTATTATTATTATTATTATTATTATTATTATTATTCTTGAGATGAGAAATCCCCAAATTTCCTGCCCACCATCTGTTCGCCATAGCGCCTGAAAAAAAAAAAAAGGGGAAAGAAATTTAACCTAAAATGGGATCGAAGAAGTGAAATCGACAGAGCAATTTAATTAACAATTTCATTTCCGACAAAATCTATTTTTTTATTTATTTCTTTACCCAAATTGGTTGAACAAACTCTCGACACTTTTCTTTTAATTTCTTGTTCGATGAAGCAACCACATTTATTCACCAAATTCTTGTCAATCGCTTTCTTCCTCCACTCTCACTCTACAACTAAAAAAACCCATTTCTTAACCCTAACTCAAAAACAGTAAAAGAAACCGAATTCGAAAGGGCAAATAGAGATCTAATTAACATGGAATTGGTACAAAAGAAAATCAAGAACACGAATTCATGTAAGCAAAACAAAATTAAAACACAGTAATTCAAAACCCTAGAAATTAAGGCAAATAATAACCAGAATACAAAATTGAAACCTACCTACTCGTAAAGACTGACGATTCGTTTTATGTGTCTGGCGGTACGGTTGTCTAGGCTATTTGTGGGTTCCTTCGTAACGAGGGTTTCTTACAGGAATTCGTTAAAAAGATAGAGAGAGATAGAAAGGAGCTAGGACAGTGTAAGTACATATATCTATGTATGGAGTGCAGGTTAATTTGGGGGTGCCAAATACAATTAAAGCCCCCCTGCCATTGTAGAGTGAGTGAGTGGGATGGAGTACAGTAGAGTAATAGTATAGGTGAAGATATGGGAGTTGGATCTCGAGAATGCGATAAAGATGAGAATCTGTGGCCCCCACCCCGAAAAAGAGGAGAGAGATAGAGAGAGGGGGGTGTGGGGCGACGTGCGCACGGGGACAAAGCTTGCTGTCGCTGTCGGGTCGGGTCGGGTAGGGTAGGTATCGAATGCCAATGTCTGAAACGGCTGAGCAGAGCCACCAATAATTCCGGTCGCTCCATTTGACGGTGCGGTTGCAGGGATAATACATTCGTTTCTTTGTAAATGTAGGTAGGTAAGAGGATCTTTATGCAATTAGGGTTAGTTTTTTTTGTTGATTTCATTAGCTATTACTTATTACTTTATTCGATTAATTAATTTAATTAGATGAACATATTAACTTTTGTTTTATAGTCTTTATACCTTTTTTGGGTCACAAACTTTTTTTTATACAATTTTTAATATATATTTTATTATTTTATAAAAAAGAAAATTAACAATATTTAAAATAAAATATTATTTTTATTTTATCGACATAATTTTTTATACCTCATATAAAAAAAATATATCAAAATACTGAACAAACAAATCTTTAGTAAATAAGTGTTTGATATATTTTTATTTTGATAATATGGAAACCCACAAGCATTGGTATGACACCCGGCCCGCAAGCCATGCAAATTTGAGCGTGTTGGGATCGTACAACACGAATCATTTCAGTGTGTTTTTGTCCTCGGTCACTCGCACTTGAGAAAACTTCACAGGTCATCATCCATCCTCAAATTACTCTAGGGTTCCCCAAAAAAATGCACGCATTGTTGACATGCGTAGTTTTATTAAATCAATTTAACCTCTAATTAATTTTGAATAGTCTAATACTGGTTCATCCATATACATGAGTTGATCAAACAACGGCCCAACTCCGGGGTACCACAACTACCCTTTGAGTACGCTTTGGTAAACTCTCGGCCGAACCTAATAACCTGCAAATTATGCCGACTAGGCAAACTCATGGTCTCACGATTACGAATTCATTCTTACACCACTAGGTCATTCTTTAGGGACAATATTTGATATTATTTATTTATACGTAAAGTGGCAAATATAATATATTTGTCTTCCGTGTTTATCTAGAGCCTAATTTTAAATTACATTGAGAGTCATGTTTTCGACTCTATTATGTTACGAGTGAATCTCATTTTCAATTCTAACTTTGTTATTAGTGAATTTTGTTTTCGACTTTAACTTTATTGTGAGTTACTCCTATTTTTAATACTCCATTGTGAGCATGTCCCGTTTTTGACTTCAACTCAATTAAGAGTACTATTTCTATCTCTAATACAGTGAATAATTTTGATTACATCATCTTTGATCGGATTTTGTGCCTCTACTTCCAACTTAAATTCTATTTAGGCAAACTTAAGTTAATTTGTACAACACTATTTATGGTGTGTTTGTTTATTGGTTTTAGTTTTTGGGTTTGGATGTTTGAATAGTAAAAAGTTGAATTTGAATAGTTGTTTTATTTGATATAAATAAAGGTTGATGCGATGTTTTAAATGAAAAATAAATTTGTAGTATAATATAAAAAAAAACAATTGTTTGATTTAATATTTTTGAAGAAAAAAAAAAATTGAATAGTAAAAATATGTAGTAAAATAAAAAAAAAACAATTTCAAGAGATATTAAGTTCTTTTTAAAATTCATATTAGTTTTGATTTATTTATATTAAATTTGATTGGTTTAAATTAAACTTGATTATATTCATTAGATTAAATTATTTTTGTATTTAGAGTTAATATATAAATAAATAAAAACTAAAAAATTATGTAAATTGTTAATAATAAATATATATAAAATATTTTTATTAGAGATAAAAATAAAGTGACTTGGAATAAAATTTAATTGGAATTAATCTAATGTGGGGTGTTTGAAAAACAGTTTTTTAAGGAGCTTTTAGTTTTTTTTTAAGAACTTTTAATTGTTTTCCTTGTTAAAAATAGATGTAAAAAGATGTTTGAGAAAGAATTTTTAGTTATATAATCAGTCAAATAGCTCATTTAATTGTTTGATAAATTAGATTTATGAAATAGCATTTTAACCTAAACAATTAATTTCTAAATAAGCTAACTACCTAGCGATTTTAAAATAAGTTTTTTTCATTTTAATTTTATTTATTTATTATTTACTCTTAAAAATTAATTATGTATTTCATACACATCTAGATATATTTTGATTCCAATATTTATTAATTATTTTAATATATTTTATGTACTAAATTGTAATTTTACTTTTTATAAAATTAATTAATTAAAATAATTGCTTTTTATATGTAAATTATTATATTTGTAAAGTATATACATTTATTAAAATTATATCAAAATAGATAACATAAATATTAATTTTTTATTGTACTCCACCCGTCCCAATATAATTGAATTACTTTATTAATGACACTGTATTTAAGATAATTGTAGACACTAAAAGTATATGTCTAAAATCAATTAAATATCATATATTTTGGAAGAAAATAAAATTCCAATAATATAAATATATGGTATTTAGTTATGCACACATGTTAACTTTTGTACAATAAATATCAACCATTAATGCAAAAATCTGCTTAAAATGGAAGATATCGTACAAATATTACGTGCATAAATAAAGCCATAATAAATTTGGCAGCAAAATAAATTAATCTTGTCAATAAATGAAGTATATAAATTAATATCTTCCAAAAAATACAATGATATAAAGATTTTGGCTAGAAATGAAGGTGCACAATCAAATCCGTCAAGAATGGAAAACGGCATCCGATGGAAAATGAAAGATTATAAAATCTTTCCATCCACGTAGCACCATCCGAAAAGGAATCCAAGGCCGTCCTCCCCTATAAATAGGAGTCATGGCCAGTTCATTTGACACACCGAAGTTGCATCGAAGATTCAAACAAAGGGGTAAGTCTCTAGACTCTCTCTGTATTGTTCTTCATGTTCTTCATGTCCTTCAAAGCGTTCTTCGTCGAAAGTCACTAATTTGGACAAATGATCCAATATTGGTTGACGAATCGATGAAGTTAACGTTCTTCGTCGTATGTCCGAGCCGGAGGAAGGATCAAAGCTCTCAAAGCCATCGAGGAATCCATCAAAGCCAAGGAAGAGCCTCCAAAGCCGCTCTCAAAGCTTCAAGATGTTCGTTGCGTTCTTCATAAAAGGCGCAAACCAGGCCCTCTTCGATCCAAAAGTCAAAGAGACACGCCGCCAAAAGCGCTATGGAGCACTAAATCCACCTCTTCAAGGATCAAAGCTCTCAAAGCCGTTGAGGAATTCGTCAAAACCAAGGGAAAGCCTCCAAAGCTCATCCCAAAGCTTCGAGGTGTTCATCGCATTCTTCACCAAAGCAACAACTCGGCCCTCTTCGATCCAAAAGTCAAAGGGACATGCCGCCAAAAGCGTTATGGAACACCAAATCCACCTTCTCAAAGATCAAAGCTGCGGATCGTTTAAAGAGGACATCAAATCCAAAGCTAAGGATCAAATCACCCGCACGGAGACCAAAGCCCTCCAAAAGCGGCAAAGACAAATCAAACATCAAAGTTGCGGATCGTCCAAAGAAGATATCAAATCCAAAGCTGAGGATCAAATCGCCCACACGGAGACCGAAGCTCTCCAAAAGGCGGAAAAGGCAAACTAAAGATCAAAGTCGCGGATCGTCTAAATAAGACAACAAATCCAAAGACGATGATCAAATCGCCAACGCGGAGACCAAAGTCCTCCAAAAGCGGCAAAGCCAAAGCGAAGGTCAAAGTCGCGGATTGTCTAAAGAAGACAACAAATCCAAAGACGATGATCAAATTGCCAATACGGAGACCAAAGTCCTCCAAAAGCGGCAAAGCCAAATCAAAGATCAAAGCCTCGGATCGTCTAAAAAAGAAATCAAATCCAAAGCCAACGATCAATAGCCCGCACGAAGACCAAAACCCTCCAAAAGCCGGCAAAGTCAAACTGAAGACCAAACCTCTTCGGATCAAAGAAGCCATCAAAAACCAAGTTGGAAAATAAATCGACCCGGAAGGAGAATCAAATGACCCATTTAGAGAATAGGACCCGCTTTAAATTCAAATCAAATATAATTTGTACAAATTTTGTATTTATTAAAAATAACACAATTTTTTGTCTACAATAATAATATTTAATTAGTTAATAATAGTGAATTATGATATTATTTTATGATTTTTATGTAATTAATAATTGGTTTAAAATAAATTTAATAGATATGATTAGAATACTTAGAATATGCAATATAAATATCATTTTATAGAGAATAAAATTTCTTATAATACAAATAAATAAAAAAAATTTTATTTATGATTAATATACATTAATTTTATAAAAGATGTGAAGTTTTAAATATAAATAAAAATATTTAGTTTATAGGAGAGAGATAAGAATAAATAATTTTGAATGGGTAGTATATGATTTATTATGTTATATATTATATAGTTAATTAAGTTACTATAGGAGTATTTGTTAAATATATTTTGATATAGCAAGTTGTTTAGAAAGTTGTCAATTGTTACCAGACAGACAAAAATGAAAATTGTATCAATTATGGGACTGGAGTATAATTTTATATTAAAAATAAATAGAATATAATGAATTTATTGAAAGTATAAATATAATTGTTGATGCAGTTTTTCAACAATAAAAAGTAAAATTCGAAAATAGGGAAATATCTTCGAATTTGATATAATTAGTGCCTGAGATTAGGAATCTCTAAATACTGTAGAATACATAAATAGAATAGGAAAATATAAAATAAAGACTGGAAAATAAAATGGTGATCCCCAAAGGCAATTCTCTTGAATTTGATGTCGATTGAAAATGCCTTTTTTTCGAACAGCACCAGATCCTTAAATAACGCCTTAAAGAAGCGGTTTGAACCACCATTTGGTCGGTTACAGCAACTACTGTCAACCGTCCACCAAGTTCTCCTCTGTTAACACGTGTT